GTTAGACATCTTTACTTACTTCTTCAATTCTTCTCTTTTCTGTTTGACAACCTGGATCCAAGCTCACTCTTTCCTGTATAGCTATCGTTTTAAAACGTGTTGAAAAGGTTTGAACTTGAACGCACAATTTCTCTAATTTAATAATATCCTTCCAGCTCTACTGTCTAGTAGACTGGCTATTTGTTTCGTTTTCTCTTTCTCTCTCGTTCAGATTGTGAGACTCTACAACTGAGCTCCGATATGCATCATATACCAGGATCTTTCGATCCTCTGTTTCTCGCGTTTCATCTGCAGATAGATCTCGTCGATCTATCTTCCTGTAGTGCTGATGTTGGCCCTGGAGGGCTTTCCCACTTTACTAAACCTATGGACCTTCATCCGTCCATTCATTTGTCCATCCGTCGCTCCTTGCATTCATCTCTTCGACCTAACTTCCTAACCTTTGTAGTTGCATCATCTAGACGACCATTGTCTCGTTCCTCGTACACCTGGCCATCTGATGATGATCGGATAACCATCTGATTTGAGTCACACATCCCCAATCACGAACCGTGACTGTGGATCCCGAGTCGTCTGTCCGTCATACGAAAATACCTTTCTAACATTCCTGGCCCCCCACCTCCACCATGGCGGTCGACGCATCATCACGGTGCAGCTTCAAGACAAAGGGGGGGGCTGACGGAGGTAGACTTCTTTTGGTGGTACTGGAGAATGGAATAAGGTACCTCTCAGTATTTGTGATGGGAAAATGCCGGTACTTTAGCCATGAAAATATATCACTACAACGCTTAGATTGCTGGTTCAATGGTATCCCCAGGCTGGCCACCAATATATCTATCTCCTATGCATTTTTTCTTTTAATATTTATTGTCAATGAGTTAGGAGGCGCCATTCTCCTCCCGCATCAACCTCTATCTCAACCATGCACGGCATCCATGTCACGTCAATGCTAGTTAAAAGACTCCAAACTTGATGAGGTTGGCACTGACAAATTCATAGGTCATGAATGTAATGGCCTGTCCAGGAACAATCCTCAAAAGACGGGGTGTGATACCCTTCCAGAGCGCCAAGACACCTTCTTCTTTGGCAATCAAGGCACATGCCTGGCCCAAACCAGTGTACTGATAATACAAAGAATGGAAAGAAAAAAGGATCAGCAATGGTGAGACAAACAAAAATAATATATATGAACGAGTACAAGACAAGAACGGAGTGATGAATAAATGATTGAATGAGTGGTCATACATACCTTGGCAGGTTTTCCAGGAGTAATGACTTGCTTTTGCATACGAGTCTTGACAACATCGAGTGGATTATTGACCGTGGGGCCCATACCTCCACTGAACCCTCCAATCAAGAGTGACTGCCACGACGCCAATTCGGTGGTTCCCTGATAGTCCATGACTTTTTTCTTGATGAGGTTGTATCCTGTAAAGTTGACTGCCTGATTACAGCCTTGTCGCAACATGGTTGGTACAACACCCTTGTAGAGCGCTCCAATGCCTTCTTCACGAGTAATGACCATGGCAGTCTGCACGACATTGGTGTATTTTCGATGCTGCTTTTGAACGGGATCCATCATGCTGTGATGTTGGGATTGCATTCGGATTTTACAGACTTCGGCGGGTGTCACCACCATGATGGCTTCGGTGAGACCACTCATGAGACCAGCCGTAAAGGTAATGAGTGTGGGAGAAACCTTTCCGTCGAGTCCGGCACGTTCCTTTCCGGTATGCAGGATCTCCTTGTATTGTTCAAACGAGACGAATCGAATGGCCATTTTGGGGACAATGCCCGTGTAGACCGCCGTCAATCCCTTGTAGAGCGCTAAAAATCCTTCGCGTTGAATAATGCGTTTGGCGGTACCCACGGGCCCGAGCGGTGCCACGGTGGTCCCCGCCGTTGACGGTCCACCGGTGCGGACCACTTGTGTCACTCTTCCACCCGCCGTGGTAGTCGTACTCATGCGGGCCATGCCTGGTTCAGCCGCAGCAAAACGACCGGCCGGTTCCTGCAGACTGTGTTTCAGACGAAGTGCCGGTTCCATGAACGAATCGCGCATTTTTACCACCACCTTTTCCACACTGGTCGCTTGACGACGCAACTGCATGCGAGTCTTGATCGTATCCAGGGGATGACAGCAGGAAGACTCCACCAGCCCGGCACAACCACCTGCCACCAAGTGCATCAGCGGGTTCTTTTTCTTGTTTTGTTCTTTGGTAGATGACATCTTGATCTTTGAAAGAAAGAAAAATTACTTGGAGAAAACTAAAAAGTTTTTGCTTGGTTGGTCTTTTGGGTAGCTTTTGCTTTGCTAATCCCAACTGCAAAAAAAGTGAAAGTAAACTAAACCATCCTTTGGAATTCAGTCAATCAATCAATCGGTCACAAGCCTCCGATCACTCTCATTTGCCCTTCTCATGATGCGATGAGCAGGAGTGATGGGCTACCCACGGGAGGAAGGTTGGTGTCAAGTGTCAATACGCGCCTTTCAATGACGACTTCTTTTGCTTGGCACGAATGAGGTTGACCTTGCTTGACGTCACCCAATTCGTCGACCTCGCGTTAAATCTCAAATGTCGCATCCTCGTCAGCATCATTCATGGCATCACGACTGCCTTCAGACGCGGTTTGGACTCTCCATGCTTGCGGGAGTTACTTCCCGAAACTTCAATCGAAACAGAGGTGCGCAGTGCGCAATGCTGCCAATGCTCATCATGACAAGCCCTTTCATCTGTCATCTCATGGTGGTACTCTCTGCAACACTCCGCCTCTCTATCAAGCCTAGCTAGATAGTGTTGGGAATTATCTACTGTTGCCTCTCCTTAATCGATGTAAATCCTGTGGCACTTCGAATTTTTCTTGTCGTCGAATTCCACCGTAGAATTGCTGTTACCGGTGCTGCATCCAACGGATCTCCCACAATGGTGCTTTCCGTCTCTATGGCATACCTTCAAGACAGCCAACTCGACTTTTTCTTGTCTTACACTTTCACCGTAGCAATCCTCTTAGAGCCCTTATTAGGGGAGTTGCATCCAACGGTGCTCTCTGTCTCTACCTTCGAGATAGAGATTCCAAACTCGAATATTTCTTGTCTTTGAATTTCACGTAGCATTCCTCATCGAGCTATTATTAGGGGAGCTGCATCCAACGGTGCGTCTACCTTCGAGTTACCTATCACCGCCACGTCCAAAATGCCAATCAATCGAGAGAGGAGCTCTGTCGCTAGACTAGCTCAGCATGGACGACGCGACGGTGAAGGGGACAGCACGGGATGTATCAGAGACCACAAGGCAAAACATCATGATGGATCGACAAGAGCCAATAGCCGTGTCCGAGGATGAGACCATCCTTTACAGCTCTGCAGCTAGATTCAAGAGAAAGGTAATTCCACTGCTGGTGTTGTTGGCTACCGGCTTGCTTTTGGTCCTCGGTTGTGTTATTGCTATCGTGGCGCAGAAACCAACTACAAGTCCTCAAGAAATCAAGCAGCCAACGAACCTTCCTGACAAGGTTGAACCAGTCATAGAATATCCAATTCCAAGCCCTACACATCGCAAGCTTCGAACGCCCAAGCACCATACGGCAACAAAACACCAGCATGCGAAGCTTCGAAGGAATCGACGGATTGAGAGTGCACGATCAGTGAGGGGTGCCACAGGTGCCACTGTACGGAAGGAGGACGACAATGAATGGTTAGATTGCTTCGACTGGGACTCGTCGAGAAGCAAGATGATGAGGAGAAGGATACTGCAACGCATGGACGGCGATGATGATCTGGTAGGTTGTTTCTTTCCTGGTGGTGGTGGCGGAATCATTCCTGGTGCTGGTGGTGGCGGCCAAGGAGCAATCCTTGCCGCGGCGACTGCAACAACCGCTGTAGCAGCAGTTGTTGGCGCGGCAATTCTGGGTGGTATTCTTGCATCACCTGCCCCTACTACTACACAACCGGTGTCGTCGCCTACGGTTCAACCATCCTTGTCCGTCAGGCCATCTTCAATGCCATCCATCTCCCTCTTGCCCTCATTATCGGTGGAGCCATCCAGCCAACCTTCATTGTCTCTTTCTCCCTCCGAGTCCCGAAATCCTTCCAGCCAACCTTCGAAAAGTCCAACCGATTCACCGACAACACTGGTACCGACCGCACAACCGTCTTCGTCTCTGCGCCCAACCGGTTCGAATGTTCCATCTTCTAGGCCTACAGTGTCTTCGGCACCTTCTCAGTCAAAACAACCGTCATCTCAGCCGTCTTCGTCACTCTCACCTTCCGATTCAAGAAGTCCTTCAAGCCAACCATCCAGCCAACCATCAATGACTCCTACCAGTCCATCTAATACTCCAGCACCTTCTTCGCACCCATCCTTGTCTCTCAGCCCATCTAAGTCCAATGCCCCCTCTACCAAACCATCACAATCTCTTGCACCCTCAACATCCAAACAACCATCCACCCAGCCGTCTAAATCGTTAGCACCTTCATTATCAAGCAACCCATCATTGATTCCTACCAGTCCATCTAATACTCCAGCACCTTCAGCGCAGCCATCCTTGTCTCTAAGGCCCTCTGAGTCCAATGTCCCATCTTCAATTCCATCGGGATCTCTTGTACCCTCAACATCCAAACAACCATCAAGTCAGCCATCAAAATCAGTTTTGCCTTCATTGTCTAGCAAGCCATCTTTGATTCCATCATCCTCTGCTAACCCAACACTGTCAGAATTGCCATCACTTCAGCCCTCATTGTCAGTCAACCCATCTTTGTCTCAAGTTCCATCTTCAAACCCATCTAAGTCTCTGTCACCTTCTCAGTCAAATGAGCCATCCACGAAGCCGTCAGGATCACTTGTGCCTTCATTATCACTCACACCTTCAATGACTCCAACCAGCACGGTAAACAGTCTAGCACCTTCTGTGCAACCATCCTCATCTCTCAGCCCATCTTTGTCAAAGACACCATCTTCAAAGCCATCACAATCTATTGCACCCTCAACATCAATACAACCATCAATTCAGCCATCAAAATCAGTTTTGCCTTCATTGTCTAGGAAGCCATCTTTGAGTCCATCATCCTCTGCTAACCCAACACTGTCAGAATTGCCATCGCTTAAGCCCTCATTGTCAATCATCCCATCTTTGTCTAAGTCTCCATCTTCAAATCCATCGCAATCGCTTACCCCTTCAACATCGAAACAACCATCAAGTCAGCCATCAAAATCTCTTATGCCTTCATTGTCTAGCAAGCCGTCTTTGAGTCCATTGTCCTCTGTCAAACCAACACAGTCAGAATTGCCGTCATTTCAGCCCTCAGTGTCCGTCAACCCATCTTTGTCTAGGGCTCCATCTTCAAATCCATCACAATCACTCACCCCCTCAACATCCAATCGGCCATCAAACCAGCCATCAAAATCACTTGCTCCTTCATTATCCACCAAGCCATCATCAAGCCCATCAACCTCTGTATTGCCAAGTCTATCAGTAGTACCTTCCATGCAGCCATCCTTGTCCATAAGGCCATCCACTTCCCAAGTCCCATCTTCAAATCCATCAAAGTCTCTTGCACCCTCAATGTCACATCAACCATCCTCTCAACCATCAAAGTCTCTTGCTCCTTCATTATCTGCCAAGCCATCAGCACAACCATCCCTGTCTTTAAGACCATCTCTTTCAATCATGCCATCACTTGTCCCTTCTGAGGTTCCATCAATGATGCCAACAAACCCCCGTCGAGGTGTTGGGATGCCACCCAATGCTGGCATGTTGGTGCAGGGACTTGGAGTTGAGCAAACAGCTTCTAATGGGATTTCCAATGGGGCGTCCGATTTGCCAAATCCTGCCATAAGTCGCCCCTTCTTGAACATTCTACCGGTTGCCTCTTCTCCCCCTTCACCTAAAACTCTCATGCCAATCCCTACCTCGCCAAGCCAATCCTCAACATTTGATGATAAGGGAAATATCTTCTTCCACCCTACCGGTATAAAGGTACCTAAAGATCCATCCTAAGGGGCCACGGCAGGGTCATGTTGCAGAATCGCTACCGTATCTGTTGGGTGGGTGGGCGGGGGGCTGCCATAATACACTCTGGTTGCCAAGTTCTGTGGGTTATGATGTACCTACTATCTGCTATAGTTGTTCTGCTAGCACAAGTGAAGTATTGCCATGGGCTGCTACATGTTATCGGAAGAGGAAGAGGGCATGTTCTATCATTTATTTACAGTATCCTTGAACTTTAGCTTGCGTAGTTGTCGTCTATCAGAATCTGTTGTGCTAGAGTCATCCATCGTCCTTGCAGTCGACTCTACCTCAAAAGACGATTCAATTCTCAACGGTTTGGTTGGGGCTTGCTCTGAGCTTCCGCCACTCTCTGTACTTCTCGAACCACGGCTGCATTCCCTGGCTAACTGCGGTTGTGCTGATACCTTCTGTTCACTATCTTCAGAGTTAGAGCCTACGGACTCCAAGTCCAAGTCCGTAGACGAGACAAACCTCAGCGGTTTGGTGGGGGCGCCCTGGACTTGCTCTGAGCAAGTGCTAACTCTAGAGTCCTTGCTTGTATCCCTGGCGAGTGCAGGTGCCTCCATCCAGTGGTAGTCTTTGCTTGCGATTGAATCTGTCGAAAATGAACTTGTCGGCTTGTTGGGGGTGCCCCAACTAGGTGGCGTCAATGTCACCACGGCCCCTTTGCTCCACACTCTTGATTGTGGAGGTTCTTGGGATTTGACCGTGTCATCGTCGCTGCTTTCGCCTGACTCTAAATCTGTGGATGAAATTTCCCGCTCGGGTTTAGTGGGCGCCCCTTGAACTCGATCACAACCGCTAGCACCCCCCTTGGTGCCCCCACTTTGTGCTGCTACCAGCTTCGGTTCTTCCATTGTGTCGACGCTGCTGCAGTCGGAAGCTAATTCAGCGATTGACACCAACCTTATTGGTTGCCTCGGAAAGTTTTCTGACCTGCTGTCGGTCTGAGACGTCTCCGATGCCGTGCCCAAGGAAACTGCGACTTGGCTGGAAGCTTGTCCAGAACTCTGGATACTTGCAAGAGGGAATTTGGAATCAGTGGCGACAGCCAATGGAGATTTTCGCTTCTCAAAATCGACCGCTGCTGTTGTATGAAGTAGGGAGGGAGGAGTGGCCAGCGGCATATTGGGTATATACAGTTGTTGTTTGTTTGCTTTCCGTGCGATTTCATCCCCGCACGTACTTTCGCTGTCTTCGAAGTACTCGGATGGCTGCCTTGTGGGTTGCAGCATTGTAAAATCTTCCAGAGTGCGTCTCCTAGGTTTGAACGGCGAATTCTGCACCGGGCCAGTGTTCCATGGGCGGTCTGAAGGCGAATCGGGCTCGTCCTGGTCGCGCGACACATCCATTTCGAAGGGCTGTGGTGAGTCGAAGGAGTGACGTCGTCTATGAGAACTGTTTGGCGGGCTGCCAAACGATAACTCTGATACGTTGGTCAAAAGTTGCACAGCATTCAATTGTTGGCTTGACTGTATTGGAGTTTCATCGGAGGACGGACGCCTTGGCTTGAGTGGCGCCCCTTGGATAACTTTCGTGGCAAACCTCTGGGAACCATCATCTTCTTCGTATTCGTATTCGGACATGGGGATCTCCGAAACAGTGACGTTGTCAGAGAACGACACAGACCGTTTCTTTGGTGGCTCCGGTTGTGGCAATGTTGGGGGCCCATCAGACCCAGCATGCGCTGATTCTGATTCCAGTGACAAGGATGATATTCGCGGCGGTCTCGGGCTTTTTGGTGGCATTGTCTGCGGATTGTTGTCTGCTGGTTTCGACTTAGCAATGCTAGCGTCTGTGATGCTCGATTCAGCCGCGGGATCTGCATTCTTCGGGGAATTCTGAGGAATCCCCCTGCTTGCAATGCTGGGCGACCGACCCGATGAATAGCGACGCACTGCCAATCCAATCTCGGCTTTGCTGCCGTCAGTGCTACCACCGCCATTCTTTGCGGTCGTGTACACAGAGTACATCATGTTGCCAAATATCAACGACAGAACGACAATGTCATTCCTTTGAACGCAATCAAACAGATGGTTAGATCAATTTGCGTGCTGCAATGAAATTGATGGCCTGATTCAACTTACATCCAGACAACCACACTGCGGACAAAAAGCTTTGAACTTGGGTCGTCGGCAACAAGGAACAGGACTGGGACGCCAATCACAAATATCTGAAGGTTAGATATGATTGCAATAGAGAGGTACTTGTGCTCGCTATATCGTGTCGGGATTTTCCTCGCACAGAAGCACATGTACGAAGCGACTGCCATCAGCCCCAAGTGAAGCGCTCCGATGAGAGATGCGAATAGCATCCAAGTGTCAGACCTATAGCAGCGCGGCCGTAAAACGGGAGTGGACTAGGTCAGATGAAAGTTGCACGGGAGCAAGTCACGCAAACAGTTACTGTAGTCACTCACGTGCAGTACCCTTGTGATTCCAGAGGTTGGCCAAAGAGATCTTCGCGGATTGTCATGCGTGTCCACTCTAGTGGGTCCAGCACTGTCCAAAGGATCAAAATGATAATGTCAAGGAGCAGAACCCCTGCAATATACTTTAAAGAGTCAAAGACTGGCGTAGTTGCATTTCGTCGACGTCCCGTGATGAAGATTTCTTGGGTGAAGATCTGATACACTCTGTGGGACGTGATGGGTGTGAGGCACAACTTTTTGCCACAATCATCAATGCTACACAGTGTCCTTACCTGTAGACCTTTCCAAACAACGCTCCAAAGGTCACCGAGAACCCGACTATAAACAACACAGGCACGAGTTCATGTGTCAGCGGTTGGATTGGACCCTGTACAAGCATTGGCATGAGCACGTACCGGAATACAACCATGGAATAGCCATGCAGGCCGGCACAGGACCATCCCCTTCATCTTCTTGCGCCATGGCTACAATCGTGGAGGAAGAAATCAGAGTTCCCAATAGCACTAGTCCCAAGAAGAAGGGACTAGACACTTGTACCTGAGGACTCTTTCGTTGTGAAAAGAGCCAAATCGCACACAGGAGAACGACCAATAGGTTAACGCAATACATGGCATAGGATATCCCCAGAATGGCGGGTGATATCATGTTCAACTCTTCGGGCACTTCTGTGTTGCAGTCGTCTATAAATAGAGAGGCAAAAACGATTAGAAAGCCCTCTAAAATATACACAAGCACACGGGCAAAAATCACTGTTTGTACTCACCTCCAATGAATCGGGTGGACTCGCAGACACACTTTCCAGCCGCATTGGCAATGCCGTGCACACATGGGAGCTCGCAATTCTTGCCCGCCCTTCCAATGGGACAGGACTTTTTTTGAAAGTATCGATCGTATAGTTCCATAATGGTTTGGTTGCTGTTGGCAGCATACATCCACTTGTTGAGAAGGAAGGCAATGGTCGGGTCGAGACTCTTGCGAACGGGCCATGCCAAGAGCTGTCTCTGCAGGTACTCTCCAGTAAACTCGAGGGATGGATCATCGGATTGCTCTCGTCCCAGGACGAGCTCATCGGAGACCCACAGGGCGCATTCTTCGGCCTTGAGCATGTGGACACAGGTGGTGGTACTAGTAGCCGAGCTTGTGTCACTAGTACTGTCCTGGGAACAAGGAACGAATTTCAATTGTGGGTACCGTTGTGCGAGCAATTTGCCCACGTAGGTTTGAGGCCCTCGAATGCATACCCCGGCTCCTTTGGCTTGGGCCTCATCAAGGGTGGTAACATCGAGATTGGGAGACTTGGTCTCGTCGGTAAACTTGAGGGCGGCAATGGAAGTGGTCAGCCATGGAGGTGTGAAATCCACCCGTGTATACCGTCTGGCAGAAAAGAAACATGGTAGTAGATGCATTTAAAAAGTGAGTCAGGAAAGCCAACAATCAATCAAGTCATTGCACAGCCTCCTAGCTAGCAGCTAGCTGCTACCTCAGATCCAGCTGCTGGCTGGCTACCTGGAAGCAGAGGGCCATAGGCATCCAAGCGGTAGCTAGCTAGCTGGATAGGTAGGCTTCCCAATTGGGGGTCCAGAGCTGTAGCCAGTATACTAGTACCCCGATCTCAAGCACACACATACTGCCACCACCGGCAACACCATGATCGATGTACTCACATTGGACTGGTCCAATAATCGCCCACAATCATATCAAAATCGTCACAACTGTACTCGGTATCATCTACAAAAGCAGATTCTCCGGGACGACACTCTGGCGCAATCAACGCCAAGCTGTCCGAGTGCAACTCGGGTATTTGCGTCTTGTCAAAGTGAAGAGTCACATTATCTTCCTTGGCAAACAACACAAGTTGATCCAATAGCTCTCCCTGGAATCCCGCAAACGTATCCGATTGGAGACAAGCGGTTCGGATGGTAATGTTGGAAGGGTAGGATGCTGCTGCCATTGGTAGTCTTAGCAGCAGCACCAGACAGCCGCATATCAAGAAGAGGGATCTTACCCAACACACCATGATCGACAACGGCAGCTCTATTATAGACCTCAGGATAGACATACATGCCATGTGTGTGTTGATCCGCAATAGTACTGGCTCTATTACTAGTAGTGGAGTAATTTGACCACGGGGTGGGTTGTTGGTGCTCGTAATTGGTTTAGCAACGGTAGTCTAGATCTATCCAAGACATCGTACCAGTAGCCGGCTGCTTTCTTCGGGTCGCTGTTATTACCAACTTCTTCCGTCGCAGTTGCAATTGCTTCTTGGTTTGCTTCCCACACAACCGGTAATCCTTTTGTAGTGAATGGAGCAGTACACTTATGACGCGAAAGAAAAGTTACCAAAGATTGTCGGAACTTTGGAGTTTTTTGGAGGCATTGGACATGTTCCAACAAGCTTTCGGGCACTTGTGCTTTATCTATCAGCTATCTATCATGACTCTTTCTAGAAACTACCCAGGGGTACAATAACACTCATTTGGAACATTAGGTGGTTTTATCATGGTTATTAATTAAACAACTGAATTATTGTTTGCTTTCCGTGAACAAGTCAAGTAAAAGGAAAGCAAACAGCAAATGGCTTTGGCGTTCCGTGGGTTCTGAAGGGTGAAGGGGTTTCTCAATCAAAGCGAAACTGGATTGCGATGTCAGCTGCTTTGTCGGACCCAGTGAAACTAGTCTAGTAGAAACGATGAGGCTGGCTGTAACTCTCCCACTTCCTGCGTAACTGGTAGCTACTCAAGAGCCACCACAGTAGAACTATCAAGATGACGATCGACGATCGATGATCCTTATATCGCAATTCGTTTCAAGTTTCAAGGAGGGAGCCAAGGTCGGGTATTTCACACTTACTTCACCAGGGTCACGTGCTTCCCATTGCATCCAGCCACACAAGTTTAAGCGCGGCACCTATCGTACTATCGTAGCCTTGCTTGCTGTGTGCTGGAGGCCGTTGCTCAATTGATTGATTCTTCTGATGCAAATGACTACTACTGTCCACACTTACTTACTGAGTAGAAGACCGTAGTAGCTATCTTCATGCTGACAAATTCCTGGTGAGCACTTCAATTGCTTGAGACTTGGCTTTGTCACCTCGATCGAGCTCGTCCGCGTTTTCCACACGGCCAGCCCCGTGCTCCTCCCTCCTCCCTCCCCCCAGACGCCAAGCCTCGAACAGAGAGCAAAGAGATGAAGAGACAGCCAGCCAGCAACCGGCCGTCGTTACCTATGGCTAGGCTATTTGTTTTCGCGCCATGCTCAGGTACACGGGGTTATCCTCGTCCGAGGAGACCTACATGTACTCGTCTAATACTAGCTAGTAGTAGCTTAGTAGCTCGCAGTCTTGCTCCTCCTCCTTCTTCTCCAAGAAAAAACTTCTCGTACATGTAGTTTCGTGGTTACCTTGGCTGTTTCTCAGTACCAGGTGGTACATGTACTCTTGTTGCCTTTGTGAGCTCCTTTGTGCTACAATTGTCATGTACAGCGGACGTCCGGACTCACTCCGGTAGATCTTAGATCTAGCCAGATTCTCTCATAGTCTTTCCCACTTGAAGTTGCTGGCCAGTGGTACAACTCTGGTACAGCTGAAGGCTGAAGCTACAGGTTCCGCTTCTCACGTTGATAAGCCGGAGTAGCGGCTGAAGTGCTATTCACGTCTTTGGGAAGTAGGCCGAGGCCACCGGTACAACTGGGAGTGGGGCCAATTATCGCGTGGAGCAGTTCCCAACTTACGATATACCATCTCATTGCGCACCAAGGTTAATCCAAGGGAATCCAATCGATGCACCATCCTCTAAATCTACTGGCAGCTAGATACACTTGTTGCTGACAAAGTAAGTTGAGAAGGGTTTGAAGATGTCCTGGTCATGTTTCGAAGGATCCAGACCTAATCCTTGGCCAGGATCTGGCTCAGACCTCCGGGGTCCACTTTGGCTAGCGCCCGGCAACGTGGAACCTCAACGCAGCTCCAGCCAGGACGGCCACCACCTGGAACATCATCAACAAGTAAGTCAAAACCCACACAACAACATGAAGACTGGACCTGGACCGTCCCGTTGACAGGGGTAGCTCAAAGGGGTCCTCTAGCTAGTAGTGGAATGTAATCATGCAAACATCCCAACACATCACCGAACGGTACTGGAGGTACAGCAGACTGCAGCGGCTGCCATACGGCAGATGTGACTGGTAACTCCCGCGATAAACCAATCCGAATTTGTTCTGGGTGTCAAAGCATTCGAAAATATACAGTCATGAGGAAACAGCAAACAAAGATACAATTCTTTCGTTGCTTCTCTTTTTGTTCACTTCCGCCACTTCTCTCATTCATTTTTCTTCTTTGCATCAAATCAAGAAGACCAAATCCAAGCCCATCAATCTTCTACGGTACTAGCTAGTACATTCTCAGAACTTGCAACAATGGCCGAAGCTATCAACTTTGCCCGTCGCCTCAGCTCTCGCAACGAGCCGGATTTGCTCCGTAAGTAAAGCAGTCCAATCGTAGGTTTCTTGCAAGTTTGCTTCAGGGTTCACAACGGCAGTTATCATGTTGTTCTTTGAAAGATACGAGTGCGGCTTTGTAGTGCACGAATTCATGACACCTCACTTTCTCATTTGCGTTTTCTGTATCCCATCAACAGAGGAAGACTTTGCAGGACCTGAGCCCAAGAGTACCTTTACGCAGCAGTATTGTTCCAATCTCGTCAAGAATGTCTGCCCCTCTTCGCCGCTTCCTACTCAGTGCAAGAAGTACCCGGAAGTCTTGATGTCCCTCCAGAAGCGCAACTCCGATAGGCACGCGCAGAGCATTGCCTTTGCGGGGATGAGCCCAGGAGAAACGTCCGCTGCCATGGTAGCTCGTGACAAGGGCCGTCTCAGTCAGGCTCAAATCAAGCGTCGATTGACCACTCCTGATGCCCGTCATAATTCTTGGTGGGCCTAATAAGCGAGCCTGAATGGAAGAACCCAAAGAAGCTGCCCCCAACCTTGACATCCTCCAACATCCATCATTACTACATATTATATGCATATGAAAAGCAAGCAATCCAAACATTCCACTCTGCTCTCATTCATTCGTAGTATGCATCAACCCTGCATGCATGCCTGTTGCACAACATCCAGCGTTCCCAAGGAAACTTCCCAAATAACAGTGGATGAGATCATTGACCGACGCACTCCATTCATTATGTGCTCTCTGCATACAGTTCCATACACCACCATAGCCTCTCTCTACAGGTATTCACAAAGGTCTTGCGGGGGCAAGAAAAAGTCAGAAAAACACTAATAGATGATACACAATTGTACATGACTGTTCGAGACTTTCATTAGGCCTTTCCAGCTAGTCTCTCTGTCTTCGCTACTACCTTACATATTATATCCAATTTCTGGCTGTACGGTGGTTGCCTCCGTATTCTCCAGAGAACACAGAATCTATTCAATGACGGCCTTCACCCAAATCAAAGAAAGATCCAATGCATCCACCGATTCTGCGGCAGGACCACGGCAGATTGTTGCCTCCGTATTCTCCAGAGAACACAGAATCTATTCAACGACGGCCTTCACCGAAACCAAAGGAAGATCCAACGCATCCACCGATTGTGCGGTAGGACCACGGCGGATGGTTGCCTCCGTATTCTCCAGAGAAACACAGAATCTATTCAACGACGGCCTTCACCAAAACCAAAGGAAGATCCAACGCATCCACCGATTCTGCGGCAGGACCACGGCGGATGGTTACTGGCATCTTTTAAAAAGCCAGGATTGCTAGCTAGTAGTGAAAGAATCTGTTTTTGAAAATGCACGTCAATTTGATGGGAAACCTTGAGGAAATCACTGGCGTACTGGTAAGAATCGGTAACATCTTCAGGGATGTGTGGAAGTGTAACCGAGAGGTTTCCAGAGGACAACTGTTCCGCCACCAGTTGCTGTTTCCGCTCTGATTTGCTTTCTTTTTCTCTTTCAATTCCTTCGAGTCTTTCTTGGCGCAATAAGTATCATCCACCAAAGCCACCGCTGACACAGTCAATTCTTTGGTAATCTCCTTTGTGTACTTGGGATTACCACCAAAGTTTGGGTAGGCAATGTCAACCTGCTCGACAATGGTGACAGTGATCTCTTTTGATGCTGGCCTTGCTATCGTTAACAAGCAATCCCCAAATCCACCGTGATCTGCTGTCCAGGAATGAGGATACGAGTACTATCATCTGTTTGGGCACCAGGTGTCACTTCTCTTTTGCTAACGTCCAGTGGTCCCTTAACCTTCTGAGTGTGGGGTTTGAAAATCTTGTGAGCCACAATGACTGACTTGGGTGTTGCACCAATGTTCAGGGGCCAGCTGGCTTTGTAGTCTTCTTGGAAGTTGCCCGATCCTTTTAGCACTGCCTCTACTTTATACTCGATTGTGGCCAAGCTTCCACTTAAGCTTTGGTCTTTCATGGCAAAATAAACACCCGGTAGATTCTTAGGGCAAGGGAATCTGGAACGGAAGGGATATTCATAGGTCCATGCCGGGGGCGACCCAGAGTTGCTTTGGATACCGCAGTGCGATTGATATCATGTATCAAAATGTCTTTGTGGATGAGCTGTTTGTTCTGCTCCTTCCGCTTTTCCATGGCGATTTCTCCAGCTGACTCAAGGTAGGAGATTTGGATCTTCTCGTGACCATGAAATTTGACATCAAGTTCGTTTGCTTTGGTATCCTTCTTTGCCTTGACAATCAGCCTCTCAATCGCCACGATATTCCAAAACGCACTCCCGAGCCAAAACTCCCGAGCCAAACCTACCGTACTGTGAAGCAAAATGGCAAGCCTTCCACAACAGTTAGTTGCTGGCTTTGTCGCTACAGTATTACTACAGAATCTGTGACAATCACACCTACTTGTTACGGTAAAATCTGCCCTCTCGTCCATAATTCTCTGGCAAGGCAGTGTCAGAAACAGTAGTAGAGGTAAACATAGTGATGAATCAGAAACCATTTTACCGCACCGCCCTGCATTTCAAAGCTGCGTTCCTGGCTTTGTGGGGGGCATTGGAGGATTGGAGGGGGCCAACTGGATACCGTACAGCACCGTACTAGCTAGAGGGGTACCAATATCGTACCTGGTACCGGTGCCGTTAACGTACGGTACGGTACCGGTAGGAAAATTCTTCGTACGGTAATCTGGTGGGGGCAGGCTTTAATAATAATATTTTTAATAAAAAAGAAGAAGCCCAATGAATTCAGGATCAATGACCGCTTGGTGACCTTGTATGGTACCGTACCTGGTAGTTTACGGCTTCGCTTTTGCGCGTCGGTGTCGAAGAGAACCAGAACAGGCAGCAGACCAAAAAGACTGTCCACAATCCAAAAGGCAATTACTCCGGAGTATTGTGTTATTGTAACCAAGATGAGTCTGTTATTATCGTCGTTAGAGCACTACGATGCCCTCCTGCACAGTAGCAACAGCAACAGTTCCAGCACTAGTAGAAAGAATCTTCAAGTCACCTCGGACGACGACGGTGACGAAATTGCGATTTGCAACTTGGCCGCACTCATTCCGTTTAGTCTTCCGCCGCAACCCAATGGACACGTCCATTACTTGACGGATCTGTTTGGATTGGTGGCCCCGCAATTGGCATTGGCCGTCCAGCATTTGAATACGGGAGATGGCAGTATCGTACGCGATTTACAAGGGTTGAATGATCGGTGCAACATTCGCTTCACGTTGGAATTCCTCGACACGGGGCTCGTCGAAAATGTGGCGGTGGATTCCGTGCTGCGTGTCACAGATCGAGCGTTTCCTCCCGTCTGTGCCTTTCAAGGCGCCAGTCGATCGTCCGTGAGTATGTATACAGCCGCCATTACGGGTCTGCGAGGCTATCCCCAAATCAGTGCCGCGTCCACATCGCCACTCCTCAGTAGCAATGCCGATGCCCCACAACTGTTTCCGCTCTTTGGAAGAACCATTCCGTCGGACGATGCCATTGCTGTGCCGATCATGGAACACTTTCAATCCGTACTGAACATTCAACATTTGGCCGTTCTTTACGTCAATGATGCCTATGGAACCGCCTTTGCACGAGGACTCCATGAAGCAGCTGCTCCTGGAATCAGTATCAAGAGCGTGGAAATTGCTCCTGGTTCCGTACAAGCCAATGTGGAACGGGCTGTCCGAGAATTGAAACAAACGCAGTATCAGTACATTTTTGCCATTCTCAACCAACACCATTTGTTTTATGATATCCTGTTGCAAGCGTTCGAGGAAGGCATTGCTGGGACGGGTCGTCACACGTGGTTCTTTTCCGATGCTTCCTTGGGCGCCATTCTCGCGGCGACACCCCCGATCGATTCCCCATTGCAGTTGGCACTCCAAGGCGCCGGTGTCATTACGGCATCGGCCGGAGTGCCGCAACAACACAACCAACAAACGCCCTTGAAATCGTACATTGACAATCTCAACGAATTCCTCAACAGCCCGGACGATTTGGACTATCTCGTTCGCAAATCACCCCATCCCGACGCTTTTGCTACCACCAACATGACACTGAAAGAATTTGATATTCAAGATCCATTTACTCCGTTCATTTACGATTCCATGATTGCCTTGGGATTGGGTGCCTGCAATGCAAGAGCATCCGACAACAATGACGACTACTTTGACGGACACGATCATTTCCATGCCATTACCCGCACCACCTTTGTGGGAACGTCGGGGCCCGTCATTTTTGATCCGGAAACGGGATCTCGAGAACCCTCTTCGGCCTACTGCGGATTGCATCAAATTGTCGCCAACAGCAGCGATATTGCAAACAGTGGTAATACAACCTTTCGCGTCACCATGGCGAGTCTGTACGATCATGGGATTTGGAAACAACTCGACGATGCTTCCCCCTTTGTCTATGCCGATGGATCCACCGTGCCTCCCAGTGACTTGCCACACATTCAAGTCAATCCCAATTATTTGGGCACCGGGTGGCGCGTGGCGGGATATGTCTTGTGTGGCATGGGCATGGCATTGGCACTGGGATTGGCGCTCTGGACACGAGCGCAATCCGAAAATCGTGTCATTCGGGCATCGCAACCCTTCTTTTTGACCATTATTTGTTTGGGTGTGGCCACCTTTTTTGCCTCCATTATTCCGTTGGGTGTCGACGAACAGATTGCGACAGAGACGGGATGTACGGTGGCTTGCAATGCCGTCATTTGGCTCCTTTCGATTGGATTTTGTGTCACCTTTTCGGCCATGTTTACCAAAACCCAACGAGTCAACAAGATCTTTCAGAATCCACGCTTTACCCGCATCAAAGTGACACCGTTAGACGTCGTCAAGCCCATGATGGTATGTTTGGGAGCCAACTTTGTACTGCTCGCCCTCATGGCGGCCCTTCGACCCGTCGCGTGGACGGTGGAGACACTGGCACAAGACGATTTTGGTCGCGACACGGAAACACGGGGATTTTGCGACTGGTCCCATTCCATTCCATTTCTAGTACCGTTGGCATTGATCAATCTGGGTTGTCTGTTCTATGCCATGGTACAGGCATATGAGGCACGAGGGATCAGTATTGAGTTTGCCGAAAGCGAATGGATCTTTCGATGCATGTTGGTCATTGCCTTGGCCGGATTCTTGAGCTTTCCGGTACTGGTACTCATTCACGAAAACAACAATGCATTCTATTTCTTCTTTTCGGCAACCATTTGGATTACAGGAAGCCTCGTCTTGCTGCTCATGTTTGTTCCAAAGATTCTGTTCCTTCGACAGAAAGAATCACAACCAAGCATGAAAATGTCCATTATGCGTGGATCCAACAGCAACAGTGCCCGATCGTCCCTCTTTCACGATCCTTCAACATTGAACTTTTCGTCCTCGGAAGATGGGCTGCTCGTTCTGAGCCACCCAAAGACGGAAGCCGAGTTGAGAGATCGAGTGGTGCATCTGGAAGCGCGCCTCAAAAAGTTTGCTGATCGCTGTTCTTGTCGCCAAGCAAGTGACGACGATTTGGTGATGATAGCTCCAATATTGGACGCCATCCCGGAACAGCCTTCGCACGACAACAATGGTGAGGAGGAGGAGGATGAGGAGGAGGAAACGTCGTCGTTGACTCCCGAAGGCATCCAGAAAACTACCAGTAACGGGGAGTTTTGTTCCACGGCAACACCAGATGACGTGGTGGATCATCATGCCTAGACAGCTAGATAGCTAGCCGGGGGTATGATAGCTACTCTCGTGGAACGGTTGCTGTTCGCGTGGTTGTACCGGGATGGATCTGTGGTTACAGTGTGCCAGGTACTTCAGAGGCTCGTCAGACTGCACAGGACGTGGGATTCATTGGAGAATCTAAGCATGGCAGCTCGAGAGGGGGGAGCTACAAGTCAGCTAAAGCAAAAAGCGCAGATCTGGCATGGGAGAGGGCATCGTGGATTCGATTATTGATTGCAACAAGATTCATTATGTTGGCAGAGATTCAAGTGCTATGTAATCCGGTGCGGGAACATCAGAGCTTGGTGTGGCTACAAGTTGCACTAAAAACTATCTAGAACATTATTGGGAGCAAAGCTATCAGGATGGCAATCACCACGTTTTATTGGCCGGTTAGGACCGAGTCAGCTGACAGAGGCGCCCAAACACCAAATCTGGTGAACGTATCGAGGACTTACTAGGGGTGCGCCCTAGTTTTGCTGACGCCATTGAACATGTTCTTGTTCAGCAAAGATGACTTACTTATCATACTTGGCGAATGATTCAATCACAACCGTGCATTGCAACCACTCCAATTCGGACGTTGCTGATGACCCTTGCAGTCACGGCAGGAACTATCTTTATCGACAACCATCCTGAACGACAACATTGCCAAGCTCAGAGAAGCCGCTGACAACGCCAAATCCGAAGTGGAGCAGTGCGAACGAGTGCTCAAGGATTCCCAAGAAAGATTGGATGTGGCCAAGGAACTGCTGTTGGAAATGGACCAGGAAGATCCGGAACGGATCCAGATTACCCACACCAAACATCCCGACCTGTTGCACAAAAGCGATACGAGACCAACAAGACCTAGCTAGTGGTTGGTGGGATTACTATGCATGTAATATGCAATGCGGTGTAGAACACTTGTTGGCATAATCCAATCCGCCCATCATTCCTGTTCCAATTGAATCTGCCATCTTCTCCGCCACAAACTTATTTCTTTCTTTAATCCTCATGCAAGTCATGGCGTCACCCAAAGTCTTCCGTCAAGCACAAAAAACCAATGGGACCGGACGTCGCAGTACACTGTACCGAGCACCTTCACGACAAGCAACTCGTCGCATCCATGACAACAAAAGAATAACATCCATTCATGCAGTACGAACCAAAGACTTCGTCAGTGCCTTAGACAGCGTCTTCGCCACTGCCACTGCTGCCATCCACGCCAGTATCCAGAGCGTCCTCCTCGTCTTCGTCTTCATCAATGATTTCGAAAACTTCCAAGGGTTCTTCCGCGGGAGTACTAGCGGCTGGGGAGCAAGTGATTTCACCATCTTCATAGTAGGCTGAGAGGTCACTAACAGTGTCAATATGACGCAATTCGACGGCGTTTTGGTGTTGCTTCTTTTTCATCAGTTCTCTTTTCATCAACTTGTATTCCTTCATTAGATCTACTGTCTTCCAGTCAGGCATTTCTGTCTTCAACTTCTTTTTGGAGACCATTCTGTTGCAAACACCGCCACATCGATGCTGATATTTCCCACGAAGATTCGCGATGTTTTTGGCTGGCGTAATGGTTGGGTTTAGCTGCGCATGGTTTTGCTCCATATAATCAATAAGGAGACGGCATGAGTAGTCACATTTAACATACTCCAGTTGGACATTTTCCCAAAAGGAGAGATCCGGCTTCGGCAAAGCAACGAAATCGGTACTGTCACTGCTACTGTCACTGTTACTGTCACTGCTATCATCACTGCTGCTTTCGTCAACGCCTTCGTCAAAGGCAATGTCAAGGTCCACATCGAAGACTTCATAAACGTCCGTCGTAGCGTCGATAGGAGTGTTGAAAGCTGGGGCGGGGGTCCATGTCACTTCACAAGTCTCGTAGTGGGCTGAGAGGTCTGCCCCTGTGTAAATCGGGTTGGCATCATCCTTCACCGCACTCGATTTCATAGCCCTGAAGGTCTTCCCTTCAACCAGATCGTCTCTTCTTACGCTTCTTTCGAGGTACTTGAAACACAACTTCACACCTTGATTCAGCAGTTTTTTATTGCACTTTCTTACCAACTTGGAATCAGTGGCGAAGAATGGGTTATTGGAACAAATATCGCCCGTAACAACATGGCATGCATTGACACATCTGAGAAGCTCCAACTGCACTTTTTCCGAAGTAGTCAGATCCGCTTCATTGAGAGCTCGGGACTTCGAGGCTCCACCCCTGAGATACTCTCGGAGCTTTATGGGGACTTCGATGGCGCAAACCACGGGCAAGGCCAGGAGAAAGGAAATCAACTTGAACTGCATTTTGTCGATCAGATAAAGAAAGCTGTTAGTTCCTTCACGAGGAGTCCAGAAACTCTTTGTGAGCTCAAACTCATCAGGTGTTTTCGTAGCTTCGGGGGGTTGCAATGATTGAAGATCCAAAAAGGATCCGCGATCTGGAGGGGCTCCGGTAATCCCCAGATGACGTCACGATAAACCCCAAAGTTTGGCGAGTCGCGAGAAGTCGCGATTAGTCGCTTAAAGTCGCGCGATTCCACACGGATTCTCGAACGAGTCTTCACGACTCCACGCGACTCCTTGCGACTCACTTCTTAAATACTTGTATTTATCTCGATATAGTGTCGCGACTCCACGCGACTGCACGCGTCTCTACGCGACTTTATACGCGTTTGCGCGCGACTGCTTGCGATTGCACACCACTGTGGTCGCGACTGCACTCGCACGACTGCTATTTCGGGTGGGATCGCCAAAAGGCCCCTAAACCGGTGGCCCTCCTGGAATGATATCTGGGATCTGGGATGTCCTTCGAGCACCCAGCGAGTGGACACATACTACAACCGTCCTACTAAGAAGACGACGAGGCAAGTTATTTCCCTTACTGTACGGTAGTACTTCGGTACATCTAATTCATTAAGTATTTTTGGACAATACAAGGTTCTGTAGTCATTGTTATAAGTACCTTCCGCTGTTTAGTATGTACTGTACAGGCATCCGCAGTTGGAGTGTCTATCAGGCCTAGGGTATTTGGTTCCACACTCCCACTTCTAATTAGGAAGTGACATCATCGAGTACATACTTTACCGGTACCGATAGAGTACATGTACAGTACTGTACCGGTTACTGGAATTTCCGGAGACACGATCAGCTCAGTATCATACTACATACTACTAGCTAGACTAGTACCGGTACGGTACCGGTAGATTTAGATGTATGCAGTGGTGTACAAGTCAGCTCAGATGAGAAAGCAAAGAGCCTTGGAGGGTGGTGGACATAGTGGATTTGGATAGGGTTAACCTGATGTCCCCAGAGATGCAAGTAGGGCGAAAGCGGTAGAAGGCAGTAATGTGATTGGCTAATCGACCTATGACATCAGCAAATACATCATCAATATTTAACGTACCAATTATAAATATTTACAGGGCAAGTGAGCTATCAATTATGTATTTTCTTGTTTCGCGAAAACCGAAAGAAGGATTCCGACGCGATGGACGCGATCGACAATGACATGCTGCCGCTCGCCCTCAACTCGACAGTCATTATCTCCACCAAAACAAAGAAGAAGCAGCAGCAAAGAAGAAGCAGCAGCAATGAATCCACCACCACCACCAACAACAACAGCAGCTACCACTCACAATGGAGGAATGGGCTGCCAAAGTCAACAGAGAAACTCGCAACAGAAGAGAGCATATCAACTCGCCTCCAACAACAACAGATCCAAGAGAGCCAGAGAAGAAGGACCACAAACAACACTGGGAGGAGAGGTAGCAGAAGTCTTTGATCCACTCAAGAAGTGTGTCATCTGTAAGGCCAGACATCTTGGTTTCAGAGTCCCAAAAAATCACACACGTTCTCGTATTAAGAATACAGTAACAAGAGGAAGGGGAGATTGAATGAGCTGACAATGGAAACCACAGAGAGAGCAGAAGACTTACAAGGCACTTCAGTGCTCCCTTCAACTGATGAGAGAGGAAGCTGGAAGCACTCAACAAGGAGAATGGAGATGCATTCTTCGCTGCTAGAACGACAAGCCAAACAAATCAAGCCCTGGCAACAGGAAGACATCCAAAACCAACACCTCTCCAATGGCTCTTTGTCCAAAAGGTAAACACTCTTGTAAATGATACTGCCTTTGTTGAACAAGCAACAGACCAAGCGAGTCCCACTGGCCAATAGCTGCAATGCAGAAAGAGTGTCAGAGTCCATTATCGGGCCAAGAAATCCATAACTGTTCAGCCACCATTTTGAAGGACTCACCATGACAGTTCCATCCACAGGGGAGCAATTCAAGTCTCCCCACTATAACTCTATTGTTGGCCAGAAATACTCCTTGTGGACTGGAATAGATGATGGAATTACAGTGCCTTGTCCCGATGGAAGATGCTCTGGCAACTCAAGAATGTGAGGCAATAATGGTCAAGGAACAAAGACCTGTGTTCCCATCTTGGGCATTCCTGGAGCGTCCATCTTGGTGCATTGTCATTGTCAATGAGTCGTGACTGTGCAACAGAAGTGTATTGAATGCCAACAGTGCTGAAGTCTTGTGACAATCCCACAGCATGATGCTCTCCTCTATCCTGTTGAGTCACAGTATGCCCTTCCAAACAAGGCATGTCATCTGGACAGAACTGCCACCGAGACTTTCGAATCCATCATTTTGACCTATGGGAAATGGAGAACTCTGCAGCACGCCTATCTACAATGCAATCAAAAGCAGAGTACTCTTAGGTCCATGAAATCATACTTCTCATACTGGGAGGTAAGTGACACTGATCCAGATCCCTTTCTTCAAAAGGATGGAACTTACATACGAACAGTTTCCTCCTTTGGTTACACCATCCGTGACATATATGATGCTGCCTGTGCTATCAAAAAGGAATCCGTGGATGATCAGGACAACCAAAGGCACACAATAGAGATCCAGATGTCAAGTTGACAAGGAATCTATCTCCAAGGACCAATACCTTTCAGGGTGGTCAAGAACCTACTCCAAGGAGTCTTGGGCCGGTGCTGTTTGGGTGCTGCCACAGATACTAGGGAGATTGCTATGCTCTCTGTTCTTGTTCCACCAACAAGAAATCCACTTCTCATGCTGCCATGCAGCTAGTATCTCTCTCAACAA